CTGAGTTCCTTGCTCCTCCCGCCATCTTCAAGATCCAGGACCAGGTACAGCTGCAGCTGCATGGGCTGGCAGAGCCTTCATCATCTCGATCCAGCGCTAAACGTGGCCCCTCAATCACATAAAGTTGCTTGTCTTTGTCACGCTGTCTTTGTCTACTTGGAGCTTCTCCTTTGTTCAGCCCCACGCGGGCCATTTCTTCTCTGCGTCTACCTTTGTCTGTTTCATGGGAAAACCTCCGCGTGTCACTCACATGCGCCCCCGCCGCCAAAACTCGCATCATCCCGCAGCCTTATCTCGCACGCAGTTTTCTGCCTCGTACGCGCCCAGCACGACTCCCAGGAATTAGCCTCAACACATCACTCGGGTAGATATCGCCCAACCATATACGAGATCCGACTCGTATGAAAATCAGGGTGCGCTCGGCTGTGTAAATGGATTATGGCGAATGTGAACGTGTTTGCTGCTTTGTCGTCAAAGCTGCCATTCACATACTTAATAAGGTAAGGCAAGGAAAGTCGAATCATATAAATACAGACCCACTTCCTACCTCTGTCTCCATCCCAATCCCAAGGCGCCGGCGCCACTCCACCTTTTAGCCTCTCCGCCTTCTCCCCTTCTACTCATCCTTGCGCTGGCCCGCATGCCCGCCTCATTCTCCTCTCTCCCGACGGAGGTCTGCACCATGATATTCTACGAAAGCTGGAGTGGCTCCAAGGGTTTCGTTCTCCCCGGGCCAGTTGGCGACTCGATCTCAGCCTGTCTATCGATGGTCTGCTGGAAATGGCGGCACATCGCTCTGGCCATTCCCGCACTATGGACAGCCTATATCCTGGACTTTCCTTTGGACCCCGAATCGGACGACGCCATCCTTGAGGACCACGCCCTACGTGTGGTTGAACAGCTGCTCCCCCTCGTCGCCCGCGCAGGAGTCCACCCAATCTCCATATCGACTTGCGATAGCTACTATTGGCTGACCCCGCTCCTTCAGCTCCTTCAGAAGACTCAGGTGCCTATCTGCGCTGCGTCTTTGACGTTGGTAGAAGACACGCCGGATCGCATTGGTTTGGACGGCACTTTCATATTGCGTCTGGAACCGAGCGAGTCTCAAACAGATCGTCTGAGTAGTCTTCGAGTGGGAACGGAGGGCTTCGGATTTTCGTACCAATGGCCATTCGCCTACTTCGAGCGCTGGCAACGCTTTTCGCCCCAGTTGACATCCTTCCATGCGTCAAAGGTCTGGATACTATCGTCCGACTGCGTGCGCGTCTTGCAAGAATGTCCCCGCGTGAGTCGCACTACTATACATCTCCGATACGCACTAATATTCGTTGCGACACAGCTGGAAGACTGCACGTTCTCAATTGATGATACGGAACTCGATGGGCCGCGGCCGAACGTTTTGGAGCCGTTCTGTATGAGCCTTCCTCACCTGGCTACGATGCACCTCGCCTTTCAAACGCCAATTCCCGAGTTTTGGAACTTCATCACCCTCCCAAACCTGCGCGACCTCTCTATCTCAGTGGTCCACAGTGCATACATTTATGCATGGGAGGAGAACGACCCACCATTCCAAGCATTTCTCCGGCGCTCGAAGCCTCCCCTCACGAGCCTTTCCGTGCATTTCGACCTCTCGGACTACTCCGCGCAGTGGATCACAACCCTCGCGATGCTCCCGACGCTCGAGACCCTCGCGCTGCGCTTCTACGTGCCTCATGTTGAACCGTATTCGGAGTTCCACAGGCTCGCCGACCACCTGTGCTACGACCCCTCCCGCCCGCTCGCCCTCCCGCGCCTGCACACACTCCACCTCGACGCGATCACCTACACCGTGCACATGGCCGAGTCGCGCAGCGCGCGCTCCGCCTGGCACGCATACGTCCCTGGCGTGCGGCTCAAGCACGTCACGCTGTACGCCATCAACCCCGAGTCCGTGGCCGATGCCGTCGAGCGGCTGGAGGCGAACGGCGTCAACGTGAAGGTGGAGCCCATACATTTCTTCGGCGGATATACGGACAGTATCGATGCTATCAAGTGTTTTGGGCCGGATGTCGAGCTGCCGGATGATTTCCTTGGGTGAGATGGCGTCTTGTTAAGGATGGTTGTTTCCTGGAGTCATATTTGGAGTGATGTTGAATTAGTGGTAGAGCTTGCATGTCAGTCGGACAATTTACTCTCTTCTGTATAATATGTACTTCCCCTCGTCTGTTTCTGGTTGCGAGTTACACAACTGAAGCCTCTCGCGCGAGTTAGCTCGACAGGCCTCTCAATTCAGAATGCCCCTCTATCCCGAGCGACTAGCATATTGAGCAGTTAGTCTAGTCGAACGATCGGCCATCCGCCACGGTTGTAGCTCTCAATACCACCCCCCGCATCAAGCGCGCTAAATGATCCTCTAGTGTCGGACAAAAAGTGAAGTGTCAATGTCGGATCTGCCGAAGAAAAGCTACGATGAGGCCGGCGCGGAGACGAATTTTCAACCCCCCCAGTCGTCAAGGCGAACAGGCGGAGAAGGCCATATAAGCGGACCGCTCCGCTGAGGTGAATACAGTTCACCCATCATACGCATCCAAGTTTTGCTCATCTCACCTGCTTCCCGTGTCGCAGAGCTCCTAAGAGTCCTTCTGCATCCAGTATCTGCGCCTCCCTCAATTCGGCTTTACCCGACTCTGTCCACCATTTTCTGAGGTGTTTGTTTTCTGACGTCGTCGCAGGAATAATTGTGCAATCAACGCCAAATCTTAAGACAGACATCAGTCTTCAATTGCTGTCCAAAAGCTCCTCCGTCAATCGCCCATTCACAAATCTGACCAGGTTCATTTCCAAGGTCCAATTGCGGAGCAGCCGCACCTGCTCCTCGTTGCAAGAGCCCCACGGATGGACATGCAGGACTCAGGAGGAGACGCCCGTTCGATTCGGGCTTGGACCCTTCCTCGATTCGAATAAGGTTTTTTTCCGTCCTTCTGCATCCATAATCTGTGCCTTCCTCAATTCGGCTTCACCCGACTCTCTCCACCATTTTTGCAGGTGGTTGGTTTGTGAAGTCGTCGCACAAGTAATTGTTCGAACGACACCGAATCTATGACCGGCGTCAGTCTTCAATTACTGCCCAAAAGCTCATGATCATAATCTACCGTTCGTGCGTCCTCCGTCGATCGCCGTTCAACCTTCACCAAGCTAACCAGTTTCACCTCCACACTAGGAAGGTCCAATTGCGGAGAGGCACGCATCTGCTTTACACTTGGTTGCTCCTTCCATTGTGTGCAGGCGACGCCCGTTCGATTCGGGCTTGGACCTCTCTTCGCCCATTTTTTTAAAAATCACCTGTTTCTCTCTTTCGAGCATGCACCACGCACCTCCTTCGCTCCGCCGTCCGCGGCCCTCAATGCGCTGCGAGAAGAACCCAAGTTCCTTCAGCTCTGACTCGCGTCCTCGCACCAAAGAAGCTACTAGCTAGGCCGTTTTGCGGGCGCCGCAGATGGTCATTCGCGAGGAGCTGCACAAGTCTTTTAGCGAATTTAGGCACCCGATGCGCCTCTATGTCAGTCTCCTCGGACCTGGCGCAGAGCCTGGATGCGTGGATCCTTCGTTGATCCTTCGAGGTTCGCATCCAGTGTGACAAATAGGGGGTGAGTCATCCCGGCACGTCTGCCGCTTCGGATCAAACCGCCAACAGCAGCCACCGCTTGCTTCCGCCCACCACAGGCTCCTACGCATCTCCGCTCGTCGCCACACCGACCGCTCCCGCCGCGGGCTGTACATGCATGTGGTGCGCCTCCGCAGCGTCGCCGTCGTCTTTTCTTTCCATCACGGGGGCGTGCAGCGCACGGCGGGAGGGAGGCAACATCGTGACGATGCAGGGTGCACGCCGCTTCACCACATTCGTGAGCACGATGTGGCACGGGGCGGCGGCAGCAGGAGCGCGTAAGTTCCCCGAGGTGCCTGCTGCCGGATGCTCGTTTGTGCTTCGTTCTTTATCTAGGATTCACAAACGTTTACTCATCAAGCACTTAGTACCGCGGCGCTGCATCTGAGCTGATGCACACTCTCCGCCCTCCTGCTCCCTCCTTGACCTGTTCTCTCTCGTAGGCCAACCTTCCTCGGCGCGCCGTTGATTTGGATTGTATCGCTACCACGTTCTCCGCGGCTCCGCCGTGCTCGTCCGTTCCGCATCTATGCCACGTGTGATGTCGCCAAGCGCCTTGACTCTGCGATCAGCACACGACCCCCCTGCGCGCCGTGTATGCGTACATTGGATCCGCTTAATCTTGTGTCTCCTCTGTCGCGCACAGTCCCCTGCCGCGCATCAAACCAACTCCCCATTCATCAAGGTATCCATGGGGTAACAAGTCGTCGTCCAGTGGACGGTCATCCTCGCAATGTGGCTTGTTCATTTAACTGAGGAAGATGGGGGTTCGAGTCCCCGACCGTGGTCGCTGTGCCCCTAGGTATTTTTCTTTCCGCGTCTCTTTATCCTCCATCCGAACCCGGGGAGTCGCGGAGCTGTCGCCGACTCCCGGATAGTGATTCTTTGGATGGAGCTTCCGGTGCTTTGGAAGGACTCCCGGCGCCAGGACGAATTTCCATGGTTGGGTAATTGATTTTTCGCCATCTTCCCAGAATCGACGTTCATCTGCGCAAACCCCAGGTCCAATTCAGACCCAATGCACTGGGGCGTTCGCAGACCCCCAATCTAACCAGGTTCAATCACACGTCACTCAGGTCCAATTGCGGAGAGGCCCTCGCCTGCATCGCATTCCATCACCACGAAGTCCGTGGAGGCAACGCCCGTTCGATTGGGGCTTGGGCCGTGACAACCTTCTCGATTCCTCTTTTTCTTTTGCGAGCGTAGAGATCGAATTGTTTGTGAAAGTAGGATTTATGTGCGTCCACTCCCGACTGTTCGAATTTCAGCAGGTCCTCCTTATTGGAGGGGAACTCGCAGTCCCTTCTTTCTCCCAATTCAACTCACCATCCATTCAAGTTGTCCTGCAGAGTATGCCGGTTCAATTGCGGAGTGGTCCGCACCTGCATCAGTTGGTTTGATTCGTACGAACATATACATGCAGGCGATGCCCGTTCGATCCGGGCTTGGACCGTGCGCGCTGCTTCAGCAATTTTTTTGCTCCTACACGAATATTCCCATTACAACTGGAAGTGGACTCCTTGATTCTGCCTGCATCTCACTCGTTCTAGAAGGGCTTTGCCGGGTGTGTCCTGCTGTGCATTTTTGTGTTTTCTGGTCTTGTTCCTCAATGGAACCACCACGGCAATACATCCTTCTCCTCCTCCTGACTGAATCCATTTATTTAGGTTCCACTGTCCGTTGTCAAGGTCCCATTGCGGAGAGGCCGTACCTGCCCAAAAATCTACGTAGGGTATGCCCGTTCGATTCGGGCTCGGACCGTAACCATGTTGCGACAATATTTTTTCTCTTTGGCTGCATTGATCATCTTCGCCTCTGCACACTCGGCTTTATCCCCCAGCTCCGCTCCGCCTCGAGCTGCGTTCCGTCGAGTGCGTACAGTTCCCGAGGTACCTGTTGCCGGATGCTCGTTTGTGCTTCGTTGTTTATCTAGGATTCACAAACGTTGGGTCATCAAGCACCGCGCCGCTGTCTCTGAGCTGATGCGCACTCTCCGCCGTCCTTGTCCCCCCTGCGCTCCCACCTTGACCTGTTCTCGTAGCGCCACCCTCTTGGGCGCGCCGCCTATTTGGATTGTATCGCTACCACACTCCGCGGATCCGCGGTGCACGCCACTTCGCACCGCGTGCGTTCCGCATCTGCGCCGGTTACGATCTCGCCCCGCAACTCGAATCTTTCCGCGCCGCGGCGCAGTGCATCCGCACATCGGACCCGGTGAATCTTTGTCTCGTCCCTCTCGCACATTCCCCGCTGGGATTACCTCTAACATCATTCATCGTGTCCATAGGGTAACAAGCCGTTGTCGACTAGTGGGCAGTCATCCTCGCAAGGTATACGAAACTACTTCTTCCGAGGAAGGTGGGGGTTCGGTTCCCCACGACGGCTTAAAATGTGAGGGAGGAGTCTACATTCTCGTTCTCAGTGTGTACCTCTCTCTGACCTCCCTCGATTAATGTACAGAGTTAGCAACCGTCGTCGACTAATGGACGCCATTCTCATAATGTCTCTGTGTTTATGTGCACGCGAGAAAGGGGGGGGGGTTCGACTCCTCCGACGCTGTACGGCTTCCTGAATTGATTGTGCTTTTCGCGTCTTTTGCTCCTCCCTCTGAGCCCGAGGAGTCTCGCCAAACTGTCGGCTGCCCGTCGCAATGGCCCGCACGACGCAGTAATTACTTCCGAGAATAATGGAGGTGTGTAAGGTACGCAAGGCCATTCTGTCGTTTGATAATCAATTTCGTTCAATTTACCCATGAACAGAGGCTCATCAATTCGCAGGTCAGTTACTGAGAGGTCGTACTTGCATCGTGCACCTGCTGGAGTGTGCCGGAGCTTACCCGGGATGCGCGGCAGGCTGGCATCGCGGTGGATCGCGAGTCGCATGTTGCTTGAGATGGTATACATCGGCCGCATCCATATACGCTGTCGGGCATGTCAGGATTAGACATCCCAAATTATTAATTTCACTTCTCTGGCAGACTTGCTGGTGTACACGTGTCAACTCAGTGTTCTCATTCACCACATGGTCAGTTTCATTCAACATTTGCCCATAGACTCAACATAGGCTCGTGACCAGTCTGTGGAACTCTATAGTACGGGCAAATGTCGAATGAAAATGTGTGGCAAATGAGAACGGTGACTTGACACGTGTACACCAGCAAGTCTGCCAGAGAAGTGAGATTGATAATTTGGGATGTCTAATCCTGACATGCCCGACAGCGTGCATGGTATGAATGCGGCCGATGTATACCATCGCGAGAAATCGAACCCCCGTCCTCCTCGGATGTACAAAGCAAAGGGGTGGCGCTACAGGCCTTCGCAAGCAACATGCGACTCGCGATCCACCGCGATGAGGGCGAGGCAAAATGACGGCAGTTATTGGCACAACACTATAAAGCTCCGTCTTCGGCCCTTACAAACCCAAAGTGCGATAACGACCCACCAACCACTCCAGACATCCATATGTCTCGTACGTCCCCACTCACGCTGTGAAGCCACCCTCGTAGTGACCATCCATTCCTCAGACATCACCTTCAAGTCTTCCACCGTCTCGGTGACCTACAACGGCAGCCATTCGCTCCAAGTAGACCCCCCGCTCGGCTCCGTTAACACCCTCAGTCCCGGTGACACAGTCGACATTCCTCGGAGCTACACATCGTACAAATTCAGCGTCGGCGGGGTCGTCATCTGGACCGTCGAGAACAACGACGAGGCGGACAAGGTCGTTGTCACGAAGGGCAATGCAGTGGTGGGGACCTCGCCCTTTGTCGTGAAGATTGAGAGCTAGCTGGGGATGACAGCTTCGGGGAAATTTGAAAGTCTGTACGGGTGCAGAGGAATTCGGTGATATTGTACTTAGTGCCCAAGAGACATGAGGCAACACGGATGATACAGCGGGAAGAGAATTAACGCGGTTTCCAACACGCCTTTGGTGGCGCGGCCCAGCGTCCTCGACCATCACCAACGAGATGGCATATATTTGTCGACGCTTGGCCGACGCGCAAAACTGCAAAAAGCACCGACACCAGGTTAGGCAAACTGACAGATCAGATTCTCATTCAAGGCACTCAATTAAAATGCCTACTCCATCCACAAACCCTGCAGCCCTGCTCATGGTATTTCATCTTCCCAGGACACACGCTGGTGAGAGGATGAATCCAGGATTCTAGGACTGGCTCAGGCAGCTTGAATGCAGCACTAACTGACGACTGGACGGCCGGCTATCAGGGTCGCGGCGGTCCGTACAACCGCTTGGGGACAAGGCAGTCATTGAGGACGAACTGGCAGGATTTGGTATCAGATTGAATGAACACCCACCAGCTATTCTGGTCCGGAGGAAGGAAAAAGGAGGAATTGCTATAACGAACACGGTTGCGTTGACCAACATTGACCACGACAATATCAAAGGGATCCTCAGCGAGTTCAAGATTAACAACTGTGATATTGCCATCCGCCATCCGCCATCCGCAAATCTGGGGCCACCGCTGACGACTTGGTTCACGTTATCGAAGGCAACAGGTTGGGATATAGATTCCAGGGAAGACTACTGTTACCGATTTTCTCTAGGGCTTATATCCGTAAGAGTATGTTCACCAGTATCACCCTTCTTGCTCACTGTTCTCCAGATTTTGAACGAAGTCCGTTCAATAGACCCAGCCTTTTTCGGCTCCAACTACTGTAAGATCTCAATGGAGGAGCTGGATCTTGCATCTGGTTCTGATGTGACGTTCTGGCCTATTCCACCAGTTATAAGATCCCCATGTCTGTTCCAATCTCCTCTAGGGAGTGGTTGAACTTCGACGAGTTAATCGAAAAAATGTGGCAAACCCTCGACCTCGTCCGAGTGTACACGAAGCCGCGTGGGCTAGCACCAGATTATTCTCAGCCTAGACTGGTTGTGGGTCGGGTTCTTCGGGACATGTGAATTCGGCAGACGACACGCAGGTATCAACAGGGCCGATGTTTAACGCGTGGGCATTGCGCGGTGATATTCTGCATGTATTGCCCGCTCGAGGATAGAACTAAGATCAATATATGTTTGTTGGCTGCCTTCTCTCCCTTCCCTAAATTGGCTCATCTATTGAGCTTGTTCTGCACAGTACAAGCACAGTATGTATGGAAACCCGGAGCATCAGGCTTTCTTAGCGAGCGTCGGCTGATGCGCAGTGATTTCGACTTTGATGCGTGACAACGTAATGTAGGCGCAGGCCCCTCCGCAATCGGACCTCGAGAGTGTGAATTTGAGTGTAATCATTCTTTTAACCAATCGACATGAGGTTTTCTTCACATCTTGTCCGCACTTGCGTGTGTAATGAAAATAGTGGCAGTGCTATGGAATTTAGTGGCTATGTTGACGTGGTCGTGCTTAGAAAGACTTCAAATTTTGTGACCATTTAGTGGCCGTGTGTGTAACACTGGTTGAAGATTTCAAGTTTTTGAGTGAAAAAATTGGTGAAAAATGTTTTGAGTTTTACAGAAGTTTTTCGCCAAAAATGTAGGTAAAAAACTTGAATCATTTTCAAAAGTTTTTCAACTTTAGGTGAAATTTTCAAAATAAAATGGAAAACTGCTGAAAAACTCTTGAGTTTTTCACCTACATTTTTGGCGAAAAACTTGTGTAAAAATTCAAAACATTTTTCACCAGTTTTTTCAGTCAAAAATTTGAAAGCTTCAACCAGTGTAATGTAATTTTCGACCCCTCGCCTTGGGTTCAATCCGCGCCTGCGGCAATTTGACAAATATCTCAACCACACCAGCTGCTCGATATAAATCTATCAACAAATTTTCCCATGCTGCCACGAATCTGGAACGCATCCACCTTGAATAACTATTCAAAACTCAGGAATCTACCCAGTGTCATTTGCAGAGTAGCATGATCCAATTGCGGAGAGGTGCGCACCTGCATACACGTTGTATGTCCATCAACCTCTGTCCAGGAGATGTCCGTTTGATTCGGGCTTGGACCGGGTGTATGCTTGCATTTTTTTTTTGACATGCAATTACTCCGTCGCGTAGCTCTCCTTGCTCTAGCACTCTAATTTCCTTCAATTCCAGGCTCAGCACCAAGAATCAGGATCAAATCAACGTGAACGTTTTCCCTTTGTGGCTGTGGCGTTCCTTATTTCCGAGCATAGTTCCTCTCCTCACTGGTACGTCGGTAAGGTCAGAGACGTAGACCGCATGCGCGCGCTCGAACTGATTTTGGAACTGATGAGACAACTCTGACACATCACCCCCGCGTCATCCATCGCCGGCGTGCGGATCAAGCCGAGGTCTGCTCCCGCCCACCATCATGTATTCGTCGGTCGCGCAAGTCCTCGCGTGCCGCCAGTCCCGCCCATCCAACCTCATTGTGCCTAAACCCAGCTGAAGCTTCTCTGCCCGACCGCGGTTTCCGTCGGCGACCGGAGTCGTGCGACGATTGGGCGAGGATGAACGTGGGCACTATGCTATG